AGATAAAAAGAATTATAGCTTAGTTTACTAACCTAGAGACAAGAATGGAGTTAGCATCCAGACAAAACTGAATTCAAATTCTGACTCCTTTACTACATGTTCTTTGGGCAAATCATTTAACATATCAAAATCTTAGTTCATCCATCCATATGTAAAATGGACATAAAAATAGTTTTTCATAGACCAAGTATATAAAGCCTTTGGATAAGGTTTACGTGTAATTGTTGCTATAACTGTTCTTTCTCAAGACAGATTTAAATAGTTTCATCCTAACTGTGATGGAAGTGAGTATAAATACAGAACTAGTGTGAAATTTTAAGGTCCCTTTTTCACTAGATTGAATCAAAATGATAATGTACAGCAGTAGATTTTTTTTAAATAGAATAGTTGGTATCAAATTTTGAGAACAATTAACTAGCTTGCATCACCTCCCTAAAATCCTTACATTAGTAAGGATCCCAGCTAAGGTAACTTTCGAGGATCTTGAAGATAATTATCTGGTAACTTGTTCTGTGCCATGTTAGCCCCTTGGTTAAGGCAATGGTCTCTTTTGAACATGATAGTTACTAGCAAGCAGGTCAACTGCTTTAATGACTCTTTCTTGCTTTAGGTTTATTTTATTACTTTCTCTGTAATGTAATGTCCTTTGCCAGAACAGCATAAATACTGTGTATCGTTTATGGCAGCCACGGTGTCCAGATATGCTCAATAAACTGTTCTTGGATATTACTGGATATTCATCACCAAAGTAATGACCCTTCCTATGAGTCTATAACACTAGGGTCCAGTGAACATCACATCATTCTCTAAAAATATATTTAATACTCTGCTATCATCTTTTAATCATGTAAGCTACTGAGGTTACCTAATGAAATAATTTTGGAATCTTGAGAAATCTAATTCTAAAATTTGTTGGAAAAATTTCCCATGAGGTCTGAATTTGTCTCTATCATTTTCCTGGAAATTTTAAAAAACTTCTCAGATCTCTTTCTATTAGTATTTTTTATATGTTGGAATCAATTTTATTTTTAAAAACATTGAAGTGAATCATTCATTTTGATATTTTGATACACAATTTATAATGGTAAAAGCAAATACTTACTTTGCATATTGAATAATTTCATGTGTGACATGGAAGGAGGCTAAAAAGAGCCAACAGAGTAGTGAGTCCTGGTCTATCAAATCCAAGTATTCTTGGGCTTTTAGTTTTATTCCTTGCGATATACTGGTTTCAGAATCATTTATTATACTTAGGAGCTTCTGACCTCCCATTTTTTCCTCCCTGACTTGCAGTATCAATTGATTCACATTGTTACATCTACAGAAAGTCTACTTCTGACTCATACCTTACATAGAGGTGTTTTGCCTCTGTTGGCAAAATACCTCTATGAGTACTGTGAAGAGATATTTTTGAGGTGATTATCATAATAAAAAGTCTATTAGTTGAGTCACCTGGGAAAATTATTTTTTTGTTTGAGATTCTTTTCCTACCTGTATCAGGGTAATAGTTCTCATCTTTCAAGGCTGCTGTGATAAGGAAGGAAACCAAACATTACTTTTCTCACAATAAGCCTGGTACTTAGTAGGCGGTTAAGAGAGTCCATACACATACTGTTTGTACATTTCACAGTTTACGAAGTATTTATCCATATTCTGTATATTCTAGTCCTTACTATAAAAGGACTACCTCCCCTAGAATCTATCTATAAGCAATAATGACATCGTGGGCAGTTCTCTAAATTTTCAAGAGGTTATTATAAGGTTTTTAGCTCTTTTCATTAACATCTAATAATATTTACAAGGACAAATTAATCACCACCTTTCCACGTACTAAATAAGTAACATAAGTTTGGGGACTGGCTCTTAGGCAGAGAAAGGTGAAAGACTTATGGAAAGAATCTTAGTGCTGTCTTTAAAAAATATTATTCCAATGTCCTGGTAAAAACAAGTTTGGATTTCTGTAAATGGAATCTGTACTAAAATGTCATTGGAATATATCATTACTTTGTTATGATCTAATCAAATGTGAAGGCTTCAAAGCTTATTATTGCAAATCTGATCTGGTATAGCTGCTTGAAAACTAAAAATAGCTTTAAAAAATGAAACAATCATGGATTTAGTCATCTCAAAGCAACTTCAGATTTTGTAACTTAGAAAAATATAAATCATAAATTATAGCCAACAATTTACTTTAGGTTTAGTGTCAGAAAACAAAACTTGTTTTTGTGCTTTTTCTTTTTAATATGTTAGGGATGTAAGAGCCTTCTTTTATTAATAATTATTAGTGAGTAATACTGTATTTAAATATAGCTTCAAACACAAAAATTTGTGATGGTCACATTGCAGGTGTGTTTTGTCAAAATTGGTAGAATTGGGGCTGGGAGTTTAGCTCAGCGGTGTAAATGCCTGCTTGGCAAACATGAGGTCATAAGTTCAATCCCCAGTACAAAAAAAAAAAAAAAAAAAAAAAAAAAGAAAAAGAAAAAAAGAAAAGAAAATTGGCAGAATCAGAATTACATGGTGCAGTTTTTAAAAAAATATAAAGGGCAAGATCTACCCTAACTTCCTGGGTCAGTCTCTGTTAAGAGTGTGAAGTACAGTAGCTGCTGCAAACTCTTGGTGGTAACATTTTACTGGAGAGTCTAGTGAGAAGCCTGGTTTATGATCAACTGCTAGATCACCTGGTAAACTCAGTGACATTGGAGGAGAGAGGTTAGCAAGCAGCAGAGATGGCAAAGAAAGACCCAGTGATGTTGGAGATTTAGGTTGAATCCTTTTTAACAGTACTTGGTATGATGCATAATCAAATATTTTTCAGAATTTAAAGAGTGTGTTTCTGTTCTTACATTTCTACCTCCATAAATTCTATCTATATCCCTCTCAGATTAGTATTCTAGGAAAAATATTTATTTACAAAAATAAAAATCAGTTTTGTTTCCACATAATCCAAACAGAGCTAAAAATGAATATATGGAAATCTGTCTAGGCCAACAGTGAAAATTAATGCAGAAGTTGAATACACATAAAATCTTTTAGGCTATTCTTTCAGGTTATAAATCATAAAGCATATGAAAAATACAACTCATCATTAACTACACATTAGCCTAAATAAAAAATAGTGGTTCCAGTGTCATTATAGTGGAAAAATACTCTAAGCTCAGGAAAATTTCACTCCTGTGTTGCTTGATTTCTCCAGTGAGTTTCCACCTCTTACCACCATGGAATGAAAAACATCAAATGGCTTAAGAGAACAACCAAATTATGTAAATCCACATTATTACTCAAAAGACAATCATATAAAAACTTTGAGAGAGACAAATTTATAAAGCACAAATTAATTTCACTCTCATATTTAAAATACATGAAGTCAGGCTGCTACAAAAAAATTGATACACCTAAGAACTTAGAATTCCACACTATAACATTCAACCCTATGGTTTTTAATTACCATGCTTTCCTATGTTTACTCAAAACACAGCTTTGGCTTCAGCATTTAGGATTTTTTTTAATTTTCTTTTGCTTTTGATTGTAAGTATCTTGGCTTCTATTTCAGCCTATCCTATCCTCTAACTAGTATTAGGACCACTGTGGTGGAACTCCACAACTACCCTCTCCTGGTACTGTCCATGTTTCTACGTCAAGTACCGATTTCCTAGAGTTAAGACTGTGAGGACTTTAGAGATCTCATCCAGAAAGACTGAATAATTAAGGGATCTTCTCTACAGTTTGCCTGGTAGGGGCACCAGCTTTACCAAACTCAACTTGCAGGTAGCCCTCCCTGCTCACTGCCAGGACAGATGTAGTAGTTGTGGTTTTAACTATGTGATCCTAAACAAATCTCAGCACCTTTTTAGTCTCTAAATGTGAAGGAAGAAAAGATGGTGAATTCCAAGCTCATATAAATCACAGACTTATCAGCCAGCAGACTTATCAGCAAGCAAAATGTTTTGCTTGGAAAATCTGGTTCTAGTGGATCTTGTTTAAAGGGTGAGGTCAGTAATTAAAGAGGCAGGGGCAGCAATTTTTAACATAAGGAAGTCAGAAATTTTGAGTGCTACTGAGCAGTCTGTATCCCATGACTTAAAGAAGACCTTCTCCTCACTTTCTCCTTAATGCCTTTGCTGACCGGAGTATATATAGAGAGTCTGGCTTGGCATTTAGGGAGCTCTCACCATGTGTCCATTATCATTACCACAGATACTTTCCAGAAAATGATCACTGCCAATGATGGTGACTCACCTGCTACCACCTCATCTACTTCTCTGTTGTACATATCACTGCTACCCATACCAATTTCTTTAAAAATCTCTTAGCCCCAGAATCAATTCTTGATTCTCTTTTGCCTTTTGTTGATCACTCTTTGATCAAATTTCTTTGTTCCTTCTCCATAGCCTTCTCTATTTAAGGTAACCATTCTTTAGCCCCTTATCTATCTAGGGAGAATGCTACTCCTGGGCTCTTTCCTTTTATCCCTGTCACGTATTTCTCCCTCCACCTTAGACAACCCAGTCATCTCTATGTCTCCTTCGTACCTGAGAAGGAGAAGAAACTGGACTTGAAGAGTGGAATCATCCCTCTAACAGTGTTTGTGCCAATTCCAAACCTGTTTTCCATCAGTATATAGTACCTTTTCAGAAAGCTTCTGGGACTCTGTGAGGGGGCTAAAGTCACCAGGAAATCATCAATGAGGAGGAATCTTAAAAACTATCTGATCTGAAATCCTCGTTTTACAGCTGAGGAAATCTACATCAGTCTATGGCAGAGAGAAGACTATTAAGGATTCCTAGGCTCTCAATTATTGCAAAATTGGGATTTAAAGATTTTCTAATCTGTCTGAAATGCATAGTATCAGAGTGGAAAGTGATATAGAAAGTATATATTGGTACAGAACACAATGAAGTTTTTTTCTCCCTCTACCAGATAACTCTCCATTGCAACCACAAGAATTTTGGAGAGATATTTGCTATAGGTGGTACTTAACACAAAATAGCACAATCTGATCACATAGAACATGTTAGATTTACATGCTGAAATAGCCAGATAAAACAAAACAGCAAGTCATGGAATACATATATTTACATTAATTTAAATGTCTAAAACACAATACAGTAGGGTCTACTTAGTAGCTCACATAATTTAAGATTTACATATACAGAAGCATATGAACAAATGAACAAAAAATAGCCTGCTAGAATAAAAGCTTTAGATTACTCAGACATTTTGGTATTGACACATATCTTTGTCAACAAACAGTGATGACTTTAAATTTTCCAGAGATCTTTTCTATAGGATACAGAATGGAGAAATGGTACAGAAAGGAAAAAAATCAAACAAAAGTAAAAAAGTCAAAAGTCAAAAGAGTCTTGTACTATTTACTGAACCCCATAGAGGATGTGACATTATCTAGCAAATCTGATCAGTGCAATTAGTTCACTCACGTCTGAAATAATTTTGGCTGAATAACTCCCAAATCTAATTTGATGCTTTATAATTGTTGCTTGATTCTTGATTCTATTTCTTTAATATAATGAAATGGGATACTAGTGCTTTTCTCTAAAACTATATTTGACTTTTGTCCTCTTAAGTTAGCAAAATATATTTTTAAAGACTACTAATACATGGAGTTCATTTTTTTCTTTTACGAGTCCTGAATAAAGAGAAAAATGTCAGTCATTTATCACTTTTGGGCCAGCTTTAAAGTTATCAGTAATGCTAAAGGCTAAGATACTATCATCTAGAACTTAGACTTTGGAAAACAGCTCCATCTTTCTCTGGTACAAGGAGGAACCAATGTGCTTTACTCAATTTACTATTAACTTTTTTAAGAGGTCATTTTGGTTTTATCTCAACAAATAAAACGACACAATTTCTGCTGCTATTTACTTTGCAGACCACACAGTTAAATATGGAAAGATTAAATTCTGATTTCATACAAATACAGGCACACAATTAGGTGGATGCCACAAAAGGTGTGTCTGAGAACACTGAATTGACTGAATCCGAGTCAGATTTCACCCTTGTGGACTTTAAGATGCCTTCAGCTATAACTGTCTCACTGGCAAAGAGTCTCACTTTCCCGTTCTGCCCCGCTGCAGTATCCTTCAGGGGCTCCAAAAACACCACCCTTTTACCTGCACCTGCCTTCCTTTCATCAGTGGAGGCATCACTAGCAGGGCCAGGGGTGAGAATGGATGACTGGGCATTGCTTTGGTTTAGCATATTCTTCTGTCTCTTAGTTTTACACTTGCAGGGACATGGAGTCAGATAAAGGTACAAAAGTACCAAAACAATACTGGCCACACAGGCAGCAAGAGTGGTAAAAGCTGTGTTAAATGCCTCATGAGCATGGGATCTATTTACAGTGAAATTGCCCACATTTATTGTGACATCCACAGTTTCATTTAACAGGCGTTGCCTATTCATTGCAATACAAGAATATACTCCAGCATCCTCAAAACGAGGGCTTTCTATCACCAGACTTCCATTGTAAAACACATGAAAGTTTTCCATCTCTTTTTCTGGCTCCAACAGTCTGTTATCTGGACCAACCCAGACGAAATCTGTGTTTCCATCACCAGTCTTGCTGTCACAATGAACAACCAGTCTTTCCCCTACCTGAGCCTCATGAATTAAGCCAAGTGCACGGAAGGAACCATTGACGATGCTGTCAGAACAATTCATAAAGCTATCTTGGAGCAGAAGCAACTGACTGGACTGCCTGGAGCCAGACCATAGGCGACAAGTGTAATCGTTCTTAAAATCCATCACGGAACTAAAGTGTCTCCGATACCAAAAGATTAATAATGAGTACAGGGAACAGTCACAAATAAATGGGTTTCCATGTAGGTAGATGCCTCTCAGTTGTTTTCCTGGCACTAAATTTATATGGTGCATTGGTATGGAGGGGATACGATTATAAGAAACATCTAAAAACATCAGTTCTGCTAGCTTGAACCTTCCAACATATAAATCCATAGGAAACTGTGTGAGAAAGTTTCCACTTAAGTAGAGTTTTTGCAGCTGGGACAGCCCTCCAAACGCAGAAGGATCGAGATAGGAAAGGTGGTTGTTGTAAAGCAGGAGCACTTCCAGGTCCTTCAGTTCTTGGAACACAGCACTTTTCACTGTCTTCAGCTTATTGGATGATAAGTCAAGACACTTTAGATTAGGAGTTGTGGAAAAACTGCCAGCAGAGATGCTGGTGATATTGTTATGACGAATAATAAGAGTATTCAGCTTGACAAAGGATACTGGAATCCACTCAGAATCCAGAAGGCCAATTCTGTTATAGCTCAGATCCAGTCTCTTAATCAGTCTGAAAAGATTCCCTGGCACCTTAGAGAGGTTTTTGTTGGTGCAGCTGACGATATCAGTGGCACAGATGCAAGCAGTGGGGCACACACCGGAGGCACCAGGACTCACAGTCACGGTGATCACCAACAAACACAGCAACTCTCTGCAACCTGGTCTGACGACTCCTGGCAGGGTGGGCAATGCGTGCAGCCTTAAAGACATTATGGTCTCCTTTGAGTCTCTTCCAGGAGCTTTTTCACCAGCTCGGCCTCCGACCATTCAATCTGGTAAATAATTAATATTTAAAAGGAAGGGAAAAGCATAAGTTAAGCACCAACTAGCTAATCCTTAAGAGTCATTCAGTACTTTCTTTCTAGTAACTTTTGAAATGGGTTCAGCTCACACTGTAGAACCCTATGTTGCCTTTTTACTGATAAATGCATCCCCCCGATTAGGTTACCCCTTCTTTTGCAGGCTCATTCTCTCAATACAATCATCTCACCATCAGAAATTTAATTTTATAAAATGGTGTATCTTGCGTTTTAAAAAATTCTCTCCAATAGATGAAAAACACACAAATGCATCCTATAAACAATTAAAGGGAAATACTAAGCAAGACACAAGTCCAGAAGACAACTCACAGACTAGCGAAGCCTCACGTGCTCCGCGGATGGGCTGTCCACGGCGATGTTTTCTGACGGTCTGCGCGTCAGTCAGTCTGTCTGTCAGGGGTCACTTTTACACCTTCCGAGTTCTTTCCCTCTTGCTCCCGGCGGGCGGCAGCCTCTCGCTGACTCCCAACTTTAGGGACTTTGAAGCAGCCGCGGCGACAGCAGCGAGCCCAGGCACAGCAGTCCTCGCCGCCTGTTCCTTCGATTCTCTCGGGCTCCAGTCATTGCACGGCTGCAGGTACCGCCGAGGCCGGCGCGCGGGGTGCTCAGTTCCCGGGGCCGAGGACGAGGCGCTGAGGCGCTGAGGCGCTGAGGCGCGGGCAGAGGGTCGGGCCCGCCCCGCCTCTCCGCACCCTAGAGGCTGCAGGGCCCGGGACTCCCGCCCGCCGCCCAGGTTTTATTCCCGCGCGCCCGCGCTTGAGTGCGGGCCGGGGAGGCCGGTCCCGCCCCTGCGCGTCCTCCCTCCTGCGGGAACCTGCGCCGAAGCTGCGGGCCTGGGCCGCCTGGCGCTCGGCTCGGGGCGCGCGGCCGGAGGGGGCGGCGCAGCCAATCGGAGAGGCGGCCGGCGCCCCCCCTGGCCCCGCCCCGCCGCGCCCCGCTCCGCCCGCTCCCTCCGTTCCCGCCCCGCCCGCTCCCGCCCGACCCACGAAGCGGCCTAGCGGCGAGGGTCCACACCCGAGGGCCGACGGCGCTACTCAGGGTGAGGACGCGCCCACCCACTCTCCTGCCAAACGCGTCCGTTTGTCCAGCCCTAGCCAGGGTGGTGGCGGGGTCGGGAAGGTTCCTGGAGAGACTCCTGGTCCCTGAGAGATGGGGTCGCCCTCTTGGGGACCCCGTGGCCCGGCCGCACAGGTGGCAGCTCTACCCGCCTAGTCCTCACAGTTCCCGGACGTCTTCGCGCTTTGTTTGGGGGCGAGGATTATGGAGGTTTATTTGGCGCTAAACGCAGTTGGCTTTAAAGGTTTACAGAACCAACAGAAGCAGCCTTGGTCTCGGCCCACGTTTGGGGGAGGGGGATACACGCGCGTTTCCTCTGTGCGACCCGGGTCTCTGCATGGGCGAAGGAACTGAGAGCGTGACAACGCTCATCTCCCGGGGAAGTTCTGTCCCTTCTGTGAGTCAGGACAGTGCCCAGTTTCTGGACTGGAGCGCAGCAAGGCAGGCTTGGTACTGACCTGCAGGCCAGAAAGCAAAGATTAGGGCATTCACCTTTTGAAAGAATTTCTGCTCCAGACTCTTGTTTTCTTTTAGCAAACGTTGTAGCAGCCCTCTCTGGACAAGCACTGATCCCATAGGGCTGTCCACTCAGAGGGACTTTGTCTCTTCCTCAGAGGCCAGGCAGCTGCCAGACTCCAGAGACTTTGGTCCAGCAAGCAAAGGAAGGTGCGTCCTGAACGAGGCCGTCCAAATGAGGTAGAGGGCATGAAGCTGATGAGCTTTTCGATTTTTATTTAATTCCAAGATTTATCGATGGGATTTGACTGAGCCAAATGACCTATTTGGCCGTTATATCCGGATTAAAAGAAATAAATTACTGTGCTAACAAAAGATTCTAACTACAGCCAAAGGGTTAGGAAACCAAAGGAAAAGCAGCATAAATTGAGAAAAGAGGTGGAGCAGGGCACATAGCTTACAATAGTATTTAAAAAATAAAAAGGGTGACGATGACAACCCATTACCCCACTCTGCCCCCCCTCCACACACTTGAGCAATTTTAAACTTGATGAAATTGTCCATGAGTGAATGGTTTATTGTGGTAGTATAGGTCTGTTGGACAAGGTCCAGATTTAAATGACATCATGTGCATTGTTAATTTAGCTTGTTCATAGAATAAACACTGAATAGCACTGGTTAGACAAAATGCTTCCAGGTGAGGCAGTTTGGTTCACATTAAGTTCAGTGTCATGAACAGTTTTTAATCATGAAAATAAAGAGTGAAATGTTTCATCAAACATTCTAATCTTCCAGGGAAGTAGAGACTGAGATGTTTCTCCTGCTAGGTCACACTTCTTGGAGTTCTCCAAAAGCTTGGTCTTCAGGCCTTCTTTTTTACTGATTAACTGGTTAGACTGGTTAACACAGAAACAGAGTTAAAATTACCCAGAAAAATACTTTTTAGATGACTAATAAATGACCAGGTTTTTGCAGTGTTTTACTAAACAACTAATGTCTAGCCAAAGGAACTCAGGAAGGCAAAATAAAACCCTTTATTTAATGTAAAATATTCTAAAAAGAATAAATGACTAAAAAATGGAAACAGAAGGTTATGGTAAGATAGTTGCAGGCACATTGTAGAAACATTATGCAGCTCAAAACCCACAGGTACTTCAAAACCAGATAACGAGGCATAAACAATGGTGAATATAATACCTCATTTTCTTCAAAAAACTTGTCCATACTATCATCGATAATAAAATCAAATAAAACACAACAGAATAGAACCAATTAAAACAAAAGAGTAAAAGCATGAGAAGACTTTGAAACAAGATGATAATAAATCAGTAATGTCTCGTTTTCCTCAGAATAGCTGTTTATACCATTATGCGTTATCTGGGGTTTTGTCGTTTGTTTTGTTTTGTTTTGGTATGGGGGACTGAACTTATGACTTGTAGTTGCCAGGCAGGCACTTATACTGCTAAATCCCTGGACCCATTATCTGATTTTGAAGTCCTGTCATGCTTTTATTCTCTTGATTCATTTTATACTATTTTGTGATGTTTGATATTATTTTGTGTGAAGCTATGGTCAGCTATTTCGAAGAAAACAAGAGACATTATGGTAACCACTGTTGATACCCTGTTGTGTTGTTTTGAAGTCCTGTGTTGCTTGCATTGTTGTTGATTTGCTTTATGCTGTTTTTTGTTTTCTTTTGTTTTATTCTCTTTAAAATAAAAAAAATTAAAAATCCACAGTTTGCCTAGTTAACCGTTTGAAGACCTGATGGCGTTTCTCACCTTAATCAAGAAAAGATATGTAAGAGATGTGGGTTTACTAACTTGGAGAAGAGAAAGCTAATTTGATCTTATTAATGACATAATTTCATTGAAAACATTTTTATGTTTCTGATATCCTTTTAATGTCTTCATCTTCTAACTGAGCCCCTTTGTATTAGCCCATTTTCTGCTGTTATAACAGAATACTTGAAGATGAGTACTTTGTCTAAAAACAAGGTTTGTTGAGTTCATAGTTTTGGAAGCTGAAAGTCCAAGATCTGCCCTTATCTATCCAGGGTCTGAGGAGTGTCTGTTCACTACGTGGTTAATGTCATCATGGCAGGAAGAGACCCTGCTTGAGGGGTGAGGCTCATTTGTTTTATAGCATCTCTCTCTAGTAACTGGGATCCCTGGATAACTCTATTAGTCCCTTCTGAGGGTGATTCCTCCATGAACTAATTACTTTGTAATTACCTGCACACCTCCACACTGAGACCCAGCTTTTCAGCACATGAACATTTGGAGGACTCAAAGCATACTCGTGCATGGCACTTTCTTTCCACTAGAAGTACATCCCATGAGGGCAGCGGTTTTATCTATCTTGATTGCTACTCTAATCTCAGTTCCCAGAACACTGCTTGATGGCTGGCATTCAGTAAATATTTAATGAATGAAATGATTAAGGAAAAACCTCTTCTAAGTGTTTAAGAAATGCCCCCCGCAAAAAGAAGAATATGGTTTACCCCACCTAATCTCCAGGTTGTGTTTCTCCCTTTATACTTAATAGACCTTGTCCAAAGTCAGAGAGGGAAAGAGCAAAAGAGAAGCCATATTATAAAGATCACATGTGTCCTAGAGCCAGAGACTGATAGCTGTTGCACATTCTACTTTTCCTTTATCCTCTCCACATTTATTTTTTTGCTTCTCTGTGATTAAATTTTTGCTTAAATAGAGTACTTGTGTCACTTGTGACTAGGAGAGTGCTAAGACATACAGGGATGGTGATATTAAATATATATTGAGCCATTATTATGTGCCAGATCCTGAGCTGTGGGTTGTACATGCATTATTTCATTTACTGCTCACTGCAACCCTGCAGCATGCTGTAATCCTATAAACCAGATGGTAAACAACTGTGCTTTGAGTTATTTGAAAATGGAATGGGCTATAATGATCTGAAGGTTCCATTTGAAGGATTTAGATTAAATGGAGTAAAGATGTTTCTTCCAGGGTTCCAATCTGGAATGTGTACCAAGACAAATGGTTGAGTTGCCTTTTCAGGAGTTTACGAGAACAGATATTCCTCTGGCCTCTTCCACATGGCATAACCTGCTGGCGTGTTTGGCCACTCAATATGACTGTGATGGACAGTAGAGAGTGTGTTGACACTTGACATGATTTGAATCTGGTATACTGTAACAGGTGCAGTAAAGTGAATGTCTTTCTGAGTTTAGAAGTAATTCCTGCCTATAGGCAGTGATTTGAATAGATGAAATCCTGAGGGTTCTTGTAGCCCTGTAGAGTTTCTCAGACTACTTTCAAAGACTATTAGAGATACAAGACAAGCAATTTTAAGAGTAGTAGTTGAGTGATGGTGAGTCATAATAATTAACACTGTAATAGCACTTTATATCCTATGACTGACTTTCACATCCTTAATCTTATTGAATACTAGCAGGTGTCTTGAAATCCAGTATAATTTGAACACCAGTAGGTATTGGTGATTTTTTTAGCCTGGAACATCCTGGATGTCCCTTGGAGATGGTACTCACTGAGGTCCCTAGCTGTGCACACAAAAGCTTTCTGTGGAGATCTCCTCACATGTGGTGGACATCCCTGTGAGTGGGGTTCTCACAGTGGGATTTAAGCGTTGGCCTACAGCAAATAGCTGGTTTTGCACCAGCTCTGGAAGTGCACAGCTTCTGTGGCAGGCTGTCCTTGTTCTGCTCCAGCTGTTTTTTGTAAATTGCCCAAGATTGGATAGGGAACCAGATCTTTTACCCCATTTTCCCTTACTGTGTGGAGACATTTTAGGGAACACTCAGGCTTCAGCCCCTATACTCTCTGAATTTCAGGAAATATGTCATCTTGAGACTTATTTCTCTGGAAGCTCCCTTTACTTGGCTGGAAATGACAAGGCGTGGGGGGAGCCCACTATGAAGCAACTCTTTAAGCAGTCCCTACTTAGTCGTCCTGTTAATCTCTCATCTTCATTAA